ATAAAAACTTCTTATGCATAATTTAATAAAACATACATTAATCAACAACAAACTTTAATTTGATTAGCTACTATCTATTATCCCCTCCCTCCTTCCCCCCACCCCTTACTATCGCTCACATGTAGATTTATGAAGATTAGAATACACACAAAAAGTTAAATTATTTCTATTGAGATAAAAACTTCTTATGCATAATTTAATAAAACATGTATTTATTAAGAAAAAATTTCTATTATAATTTTTTATTTATATTTGCAATAATTTCTATTTCTGTGTTGTTTTTTTGTGAATATGTCATATATTACATAGTGCTTTCACAGGTTAGTAAAACCATTTGACATGACATAGACTTTGTAATTGTTATTGCAATGAAATTAATTATTTTTTTTTTTTTTTATAAATTAGTGTAATTGGCCATCTTTAGACCCACGTAAGGCTGATTTATCTGTTGATTCATCAAAATTTAATGAAAATCCTGTACGAGCTATGTTCATTTCTGATACTCATTTACTTGGTCCTAAAAGAGGTCATTGGTTTGATAAGTTGAGAAGGTATATATAAATAAATATATATAATTTAATAAATTGTTAAGCAAAATATAAATTACTTTTTTAATTGTCATACTAATTATTATTATTATTATTATTATCAAATATTAATAATTGTTATTTGATTCAATGAAAGTAAATAATATTTTCAGAGAATGGCAAATGTATAGAGCATTTCAAACAGCTGTAACTATTTATAAACCAAATATCATTTTTATTTTAGGTATGTAAAATAATGTACTAGTATCAATAATTAAGTTCTATATGAGTCGTTTACAAGCCAAAGCGATTAACTCCACTTTTATCATCTTTTTAAATTTTAGTCTCAAAGTACTTAATTAATGTTTAACTATTTATGTTTAAAAATAATTTCTTTAATAATGGAGTAATAGACCTAGTCTTATTAAATAAACTAATTTCCATGTTATCATTGTAATTAAACAATGATGGACACGATTAGTACTTGATTGGGTGAACGCTTCAGAATATTGTATGCTGTTGACTTCAGAAGGACTTCAGCAGAAAAATGGATAATACAACAATTTTTCTAATAATATCATTAAATAACCAAATTTTGTAAGACTGTTGAACGATAAAGGATGTAACAATGTACGTAATTGTATTAATTTTCTTTATTTTATTGTTGTAAGGAGTTAATCAATTTGGCAAATGTTGAATTGGACCACATGTAATTATTATTAAATATTATAGGTGATATATTTGATGAAGGTGATTGGTCTAATGATAAGGAATTTGATAATTATGTATCAAGATTTCACTCATTGTTTTCCGTACCAGATGATGTTCGTCTTTACACAATGGCTGGAAATCACGACATAGGATTTCACTATGGTATTTTTAATAATTACATTTTCAATTATCGATTTCGATTATTTAAAATAATGATTTCATAGACATATATTAATAGTATTTTGGCTCAAATAAACACAAATTTATTTAGCCATAACACCTTATACAAATCAAAGATTTGTAAATAAAATGAAAGCACCCAGTGTTAGAAGAATCAGTAGTAATGGAAATCATTTCATCTTGATCAATAGTATGGCATTAGAAGGAGATGGTTGTTTTCTATGCAAATCTACAGAAATTGCGATAAATAAAATTGCTGGTAAATTGTTATTAAATATTATATATATATATAAAATTTTGAATTATTAGTCAATTTATAAAAGATATCATTCTTTTTCAGAACAATTACAATGTGCGAAAGGAAAACATAATAATTGTACTAAAAGTAAAGATAAATTATCTATATACAGTCGTCCTATTCTTCTTCAGGTTTATATTATTTATATGTTTGTCAACATATAAGTCGAAAATTGTAAAAAAATCTCTCTCTCTCTATATATATATTTTATTCTGTTTATTACAGCATTATCCATTGTATCGTGTATCTGATGAAATCTGTAATGAACCTGATGAAGCACCACGTGAAATAAAAAGCTTACAATTTCGTGAACGTTGGGAGTGTTTGTCAAAGGAAGCATCTAAACAAGTAAATAAATTGTTCTAAATGTTATTCGTTTTATTTTGAAGTATATAAAATAGATAAATATTTAAAGCTTTTAGATATTTTAAATCCAAGACTGGTTATTGATGGTCACACTCACTATGGTTGCAGAAGAATACATAAAGATGATATCTTGGAATTTACAATCCCTTCTTTTAGCTGGAGAAATATCAATAACCCATCTTTCTTATTGGTAAGCTTTTTAATTTCTATTTTTTTTTTTTTTTAATGTATGATTTCTCTGCAAGAGTTTATATAAAGTTTTATTTTAGGGTATATTTACTCCAAATAATTTTTCTTTATCAAAGTGTTACATGCCGGTAGAATCTACTGTGATTTTAATATATAGCACAAATATAGCAGGTATTTTCGTATATTTAATTATAAAATATATTCCCAAAATAATATTAATTATATTTTGTAAAATAAAATCACGGTAATAATTTGATCTCATATATGATGTTTTACATACGTATAATATCATTGTTTGCAATATTTTAATGTCAAGATAATTTTATATATACATTGTTTAATAAGTTCTGAATATTATTAATAGTATTAAAAAGATATTATACACATGAACAAAAATTTCATGAGCAGATATGTTATTTACATTATTTATATCATAATACAAAATATTATTTTAGTAATAATATACTAGTATGTTTTTTTTTTTTTTTTTACGTATTGTTAATATCTAATATACATTATTAAATGTATTAAGTCACACTTATAAAATGTAACTATATATTATATTGTAAATAAAAATGTATATAATTGTAATAAAGAAGATCATTATAAATTACATTAATGTAAAACAATAATAATTGAAAATTGTTTGCTATGTTAATATTAAAAATATACACGAAGTTTATAAAATCACTATTAAACAAATCATATTTAACTAAATTTCTATTATAATAAATAATAAACAATTCATTTTTTGTAAATCTTCATAACTTAAGATGGACAAATAATAAATAATCTATCTGCTTACATTTCAAGTACTTTTATCATATTAAAAAAACAAGGACTAAAAGGTATAATAATTATCAACAATTTAGATTCAATGGAAATATAATAATTCTATAATCATTTTGTGATGCATGAAAAAATTTGTTCATTTCTACATTGAAAATAATATTATAAATTCATATACATACAATGCATGTTATTTAAACTATATTTATATTTTTGTATAATTTATTACTAATATTTTTGTATTATGTATGCAAATATATTGTGTTATATGTATGATTATGTTTGTATACATACATACATACATACATACATAATATGTATTTGTAGATTTTATTAAAACTCTTATTTTGTTTAATAATTTAACAAGTACACAACACCACACACACTGCTTTCATCTTAATCTCACAATTAAAAAATAATCTAACACTCACCGTAAACTAATAGATAAGGTTACATTCGCACATCATTCACTGACAATGAGTTCATTTATGACAATTGCGACTAGTCTATTTAACTGCTGCATATATTTTGCGAATGAAAGCATATGCAGCAAAGAAACCAATTGTACCAGTTAACAACCAAAATGTAAGCACCATTAATGCTGTATATGCAAAATACATCAGCGTTGGAACCAATTCTGTTATTTCTAATTTGGTCATAAAGTAAAAAATTGAATATGCTAACATATATACAGCTGATCCACCACTAACTATAAAACTTCTCCACCACCATCTATAATCCTGTAATTAAATAAATATTATAATTTATTATTGATTAATAAATAATAAAATATATAAATAGTAATATAAATATGTTATAATACATACTTCTGCACAAAGTTGCAAATATACCATGACTACAGATATTTGAGAGCAAGAAATGACAAGAATACAAAATACTAAAAATAAAAATCCAAAAAGATAATAAAATTGATTTTCCCATAATGCTGTCAAAATAAAAAACAATTCTATGAAGACAACACCAAATGGTAATATGCCAGCCATCAACGTACTGAAAAATTCCGAAAAATGTATGAAAATCTTTTATTATAAATCAACATTGAACATATAATTTTAATATAAAATATTTTTAAATACTTACCAAAATATTGGATTCATATACCATAATTGATCTGGAATTTGTCTGGGAATTTGATTTGTTCTAACAGGATGTGTAAACGGATGTTTACGATAACCAAAGAAATATCCGAGATATACTAAGGGAAGTGAAATGCCAAACCATAGGCAAAGTAATGCTAACATAGTTGTAAATGGAACTGCTCCTGAACTGTGTTTTCCCCATATGAAGAAGTTTAGAAAAAAACATGTAGTAAATACTATACCAGGATAAAGTGTTGCTGTCTACAAATTTCATATAGTAATTTGTCAATAAAATAAATGATATCTTATTATTCCTGATTATTTTAAAACTATGTTATCAAGTTTTTCAAATGCATTGTTAACTTACCAATAACGCAGCTCTTCTCCATTCTCGTCCTCGCATTGTTTTATACAGACGTGCAGAAAAATATCCAGCAATTGATCCAGAAAATACAAATAAAAATATAGCACAAGTTCCTAATGCTCCTCTACTTGCTGGTGAAAGCATTCCAAGCATGGCAAAAACTGTTAATAAATAACAATTATTAAGTTTATACATAAATTCTGTTATAAGAATATTCAAAGAGAATATCTAAAGTAAATATAACATAAATCTTACATATTGTAATAAGTGCCATAAAAAATATTTGAATGCCATTGCCTATAACAGCAGCAAACAAACGTGAATTAGGAGGTGGTCTAAAAACATCTCCATGTACTAATTTCCAACCAGTTTCTTCAATACTTTCGTCTAAGCCAGCTAGACTATCATTATCACCTGCATTGTAACGAGCTATATCTCTTTTAAGAGTTCTTACCATGATCGTGATAAGAATACCTGTTGAACGAATATACCATGTTTCAAATTATAAATGATTAAATTATCAAATAAAACAATTCAACGAAATTCATTTCATTTACCATATAAGAAAAACACTACAATGAGTGAATTTATAATAGAAAACCAATGAATTTTAACATCATTCATTCCTAGATATGTGTCCCATCTGCTTGCCCAACTCACATCTGATTTTTTCCACTTCACGGAATATAAGAATAACAATCTAGTACCTTTAGGATTAATAAATTGAGGGCTTGTTTCAGCTGGTAATATACACTTGTTTCCATCATAATTCAATTTACTTATATCTACTGATCGAGCTTCCACTTCAAATTCTACTACTCTAAATTGATTTCTAAACAAAAAGGATATAAAATTGATTTACAAAAATGAATGGATATAGGAGATAATAATTCTCCATGTTCGTGATATCCTAATTTTAATGTCAAATGATTATTAATATAAACTTGATCACCTATAACACCTCCTAATCTATATCCATGATAAAC